GTCAGTCTCAGTGGCAAGTGGAACACACTTCATCCCAGTCATTCTTAACTTCAGCTTGGCCACAACACTGTCCAACACTGATTCCTGCACACAGAGCACCCACTGGAACTGGACAAGAGAAAGAGAGAAGCAGGCAAAAAGATAATTATTATATTTGTTTTATACATGACAAGTAGTTTAATCAATGAGCACCCCTAGCAGACTATGGCGGTACTGCAGAAGTGCTGTCAACTGGTTTTCTTTTTGAAAATACGCACTAAAATAAATAACAAGTAGTATATATTAAATATTAGATACCTAAATATTAAATACATACAGAAATACCACATAATATTTTCCTATTTTATTTGCTGAAAACCTTGGAAACTTGTAAAATATATACTGTATATACTAAAATAGTTAAGACTTTTAAAAATATTCTTGATAATAATTTCTTATGCTTTCCAAGGCTGCATTTTTTTGATCAAAATACAGTAAAACAGCAATAGTGTGAAATATTGTTACAATTTAAAATAACTGCATTTTTTTCTTCATACATCTCTTTTCTTCTTGAAGGCCAGCTCTATCACTCCATCCACAGCACTGTCGAGGTCTGCCGAATCAAAGATGATAAAAGTGCACACAGAGCTAAGTGAGAGAGAGAAAGACATGGGAACTCCGCAACCAGCCACTGCTTTAGCAAGGGCTTCTCCAGTATGTTGTCTTCCACTGTAGGTCAAGTAGTTCACTTGTGGATTTTGAGCCACTTTGGCACCCAGTGATGCTTCACTGCCTGAGACCACATTCAGCACTCCGGCAGGGATTCCAGCCTCCATAAACAGCTGAGCCAACAGAAGGGCAGGAAGAGTGCTAGTCTTGCCAGGCACCACAATAACAGCATTGCCTAGAAAATGAATAGACATGTAAATAAATAATGGTTAAGCCACGGTTTGGTTTGCACCCTCACATCTCATTCAGAAAGGATTACTAGTTTTTTACATTTATGAGTAACAACTTCTAATGAATTAAGCTATTTTAAATAATAAATGTATATACTATTTGTTAAAGCAGGGTTATAATTATAGTTAACTGTAGTTATAACTAAAACTATAAAAAATTGTTACTTAAAATAAAATAAAAATTAACTAAAATAAAATGAAATAGTCATTTTATTTCAGCTAGTGCCAAGGAAACATTTCTCAGTTAGTTTAACTTAATGTACTAAAACAAAAAAACAACAAAAAAAAACAAACAAAAAAAAACTATATAGATATATTTTAAAAACAAAACCAATCAAATGACAAAGACACAAAATGAATAAAACTAACTAAAATTACAATGGAAAATATAAAAAATTTAAAATATTTTATTAATAAAAACTAATAATAATAAAACCAATGAAAAAGGTTTTAAAAATTCCCCCCCCCCCACACACACAATTTCATAGGGAAGATGTTCAAAACAGTCAATCAATACTAAGGTCAAGTACAAAATTGATTTTTAAAATTAATTTATAACTCAGTATTATCTTTAAATGTGAAACATGTCATTTATGTGCCATTAGGGCTGCATCTGCAACAACGCAATTTTTTGAAAGCACCACAGATTTATTACTGTCAACACAAGTTAACACATGCCTTAACTGCTGCTGTCTGCAAGTTATTTAAAAAAATAAACATAAAAATTGTATCTTATTTTTTCTTCTGTTTTTTTTTTATGTCACTTCATTCATCCTTTGAATGTCTGGAGAGTATATGAAACTCAGAAAAGAAAGTATCATATTATTGTTCATATATTATGTATCATATCATGTTTTAAGAGAAAGACTCACCCATAGCTAGAGCTGGCAAAACCTTAAGCAGAAGATAGTAGACGGAACAGTCATCTGAAACAACCACTGCCACAACGCCTAGTGGAGACAAAACATGACATGAGACTTACAACCATGCCTCCTACTTACAACACATTTTCTCACTGTCTTCAACAAGTTCTTTCTCTCAGACTCATATACACAAACAAACGCTGGCATACCTTGTGGGATCCACTCAGGCATGAGCGTGTCTCGTAGTTGAGCCCAGCTGGCATAGTACTGGGCCAGTCTAATGAGCACAGCGGGAGAGGTAGAAGACTGAGAGAGCTCACACAGCTCAGACAAACACTGACTGTGTCTTTGCAGGACACTCGCCAACCTGGGGCACAGACATATATTCATAATGATGTAACATGACTATTACTGTGATAGGTTAATTATTTCTGATATTATTTTAAGTGAAGCTCTAGTACTTGAGTAACACTTTGGCTCTTTGGTAACAGCTCAATTCACTCCAGGTTTTGAAGGCTCCAGCTGCAGATGAGGCAGCAGATGCAACATCCTCATCTTTAGCACAAACAGTGCTGCAGACCACCGCTGCTGTACAAAGACAGGAGGGCAGGAGAAGATATCTTATCATTACATGACAGATTATATAACAGATATGCACTTAAGGAAAAGATCAAATATTGCATACCTTTGGAATCAGTCACATCATGGGTCTGTCTATCTGCAGGACTGAAAAATTTCCCATCAATGAAGAAGCCAAGAACGCGAGAGTGTTTCACCAGCCATGACTGAGAGAATGACACAGAAAATGGTCTCTTCCAGAGTTTGTGTTTCAGTGGAATGAATATCTCACACAAATTGGACAGCAAGGGTGACATTACACTTTAAAATTAAGAACTGAAAATTCTAATTTCTCTGATAATTCAAACAACAAACATGTTTGATTTACAAACTGTAGTTTGGTTGTTCCACCTCTCTGAGAGAACCAATAGAGTGGCTTTGTGAAAACAGGGTGAAGGTTGCAGTAGATCATTCATAGAACATATGGCTCTCACAAAGTACATGAACAGCTAACTATATTGAACTCTGCTCACAGTAGACTTGTGCCGGTATTCGGTAATGCGATATATCACGGTAATGAATATGCACGATATTGTTATCGTGGGCACTTCTAAATACCGTGAATAATTATATATTACAAGTTATTCAGAATTTTGAATGCATTTTAAGAATACTTTTCCCATCAACTGGTCAAAATGCACAACACCGCTGTATGCTGCGTGAAAGACGCGTGCGCACTGATGTAAATAAGCGAGGACGAGAAGCACATGGCGGAACATGTGAGAGACGCACTGGAACTTTCACTCTCTGACTGTAGCAAATGTAGCTATTGCTGATTGTGAATGTTAATGCATTAACTAAGGTTAACTAATGAGGTCTTATTGTAAAGGGATACCTATTGGTCTTTATAGTTATTTTGCACTTTAATCTGTGTAAAACTTTTCGCTTTATACATTTTTCTGTATTGCTTTATTGCATTTAAATGTTCAGTTATTTTTGTTATAAGAAAAAAGTTATTAAACCTGTTATACTGTATAATGACAGCACTTATTTAAAACTAAAGTTCAACACCGTGATAATACCGTATACCGTGATAAAAGCATTAGCAATTAATCGCAACATAAAATTTTGATACCGGCATATCCCTAGCTCACAGCACTTAAAAGTGTAGTTTACAAGAAAATTAAATGTACTTATACTAATGTTGTTCCAACCTGTATGACTTCTCTTTGGCTTTTTATAAAGTGTGATATAAGACATATAAACATTGACAAGCTCAGTCACCTTTCACTTTATTTGCATGGCAAAAAGATGCCTAAAGTTGGTGACTAATGCTGCCACTTTGCAACTGCCTAAGATGTTATTTTGTGTTTCACCTGAGAAGAAAAACGTCATATGGACTTGGTACATGTTAAGGATGTGTAATGAGTACATTTTCATTTTTAAGTGAACTCGTTTGAGACATGCATAGTTTTTAAATGCAAATTTACAGCAAGAGGACAACCAGCATCTTGTCACATGCTTTTCTCGTGAGTTGTCTGCATCCTAATGTACGGCCACATGTAAACCATTTACACATTGGGTGAAAAGGTGGCAATATGCTCTGACGCTTTAAATGATACATAAGTAACAAACTGACGATTCAATGTATTAAAATGCATTTAAGATACAAAGTTAATGTACCCGAGGAATCAGCGCTTTACCTGTGCAGTTGCCGTGCTAGTGCTGGATGGCCCATACTCCATATTTTGAAAGATGTCGTGCACAGTCTTTGTCGAAGTACCTGCCATAACAATTTAACCTATAGAAATAATAATTGTTACTGACTTCTGAAAAATATGCCAATTCAAAATAAAATAATAATACAGAGTGTGCAGTGATTCTATCACTTGATTACAGAGATCAAATGTGCAAAGCTGTCCAGTACTAACTACAACAACAAGCAGGACCTGACGAATTCTCGATCGCAAGAAGAAACGTAAGTAAACATTAAACAATTCAAAAGAGCACTCAACGCGAGTTCTCAAGTCAGGGCTGGTATTTCTTCCTGTGTTATTGTGTTGCCAGATCGCACAAGGTATATAATAGCAAGCCGCCAAAAAAGCGAAAATGAGCGAACCTTGTTTTTTTTTCCCGATTTGAAGGAATGCCTGGATGGAACACCATAGAAAAAACAAATAAAAAGAAAAGAAAAAAACATAGATTACATAAACATAGTTTTATCAAGACTACATTGCAAGTTGTTGCAAAATAGTGTATTTTCAGTAATTTTATTCTAAAATAGGCTACTTTTAAAGTAATAAAATATACTTTAAATAATTAGAAATGAATTACATGGAAAACACACAACCCATTACTGCCCGTATTTATAAGTAACCTATGAACAAAGAATCCCAGAGACGCTTATAATAAGTGGACATGGCAACACTGGTTGTTGTCGACGTCAACCTAAACTCCATTAGATCATACTTGGACTAAGACTTGGACTAAGACAGCAGAGGAGCTCATCATCATTCACAAAAATAGACTGAGCTGTCACTACAATAAGTAATACGGTAAAAAATGCACAGGACTTTATAGTCGTTAAATGGCATAGATATCAAATGGACGAGTCAGTGATTTCAGGAAGGCGTCCATACTTGCCATATTGAAGGTTACGTCATCGATGTTGCCCCAGTTCAGAAAAGTACCCATTATAACATTGGCAGTTATTCATCGTAAGGCGTACATTACTGTAACTTATTTATCATTTTGGAATGCAGTGGTTACATTTCTGACATGAGGCGACCTCAATGACGTAGGCGGCCGACATAAGTGACCTCCGGAGGGCGCAGCCACACAGAAGTTGTTCTTCATCTCCACAAAAGTTGAAGTAGGGTGGTATTCCCCATAGCTACACCCAGCCGAAAACATTACCTGAAACACGAAATAACATCAACAGTAATATATATATAGATATATTTTACGGATATGGCTTGCGAAGTCTCGCTGGGTAAGTGGCTGTGTTTGTTTAGTGCTCTTTAAGCGATCTTAGATTTGTTACTGATGTTTCTCTTCGCTCTACAGATGACCAGATTGGAGAAGCACTCTTAATCGGGTACGTTTCGCTTTGTAAACTTGTGATGTCTTTGTATGTAGCATTTTAACTTCATCATCCACGGGGATAGTTTTAGTCGACACTGGAATAGATAGACTGAATAGATGGTGCATTATGGGGCTGAAAGTCATTAACCTGAAGATATACAGAGAAAGAACCACATAATAACTATTGTACAAAATATTGTGTTACAGCAAGGTGAATAGTAAAAATCCAGTACCTGCTTTACCACCTTTTAAATGCTATTTTGGATTCAGATATCTTGCATATAAATAACAGAGCAAACCGTAAGCAATAAGAAAGCCATTACAGTGTCACATCTAGCAATCTATTGCTCATTCCGTAATTGGGGGTAAATTTCACATCATATCACAACTAAATTTTAAGAGATTCAGAACTTCAACCTGTAAAAGAAGCAGCGTTCTAGTTATTTATTTATTATTATTATTATTTTTTTGAAAGTAACAGTTGACTTGACACATTGTTAGCTCATGCACACACACTCTGTGTCCCCTGGCACAATAAAGGTAAAACTATGAGAAAAATAAAACAATTTGTGAGAAACAAATCAATATCATCAGTGGACACAGTCACACAGTAAGGCCATGACAACTATATCATTCAATAATTGTCAGGCAACATAATAGTTGACAGATTCACCATTTTGACTCTTAATTACAATGGTAGGCCTTATCTGGCCAATCGCATGTTATTTTTTCATCAGTTTAATGTCAGTTTTGAATATATATTTGAATTTAAATCATAAAAATATTGCAAACCATAACAAATTGACAGTCAATTCTCCTTGACTAGTTTATTGTAGAAAAAAAATATTGGAGGAAAAAAAAGAGAGGACATTTACAGTATTGTGATCAAAATATCCACCCCAGAAGAAAATAACATATGATGCTGGTCACATGTTGTTGTGATAAGCCATTTTTTAGTAGCGGTGTTCATTTAGTAACATAGTTGACAGAATTTTTGACAACATAAGAAAAAGTAGTAATTTAAAGAAAATCTAATTTAAACTCAATCTAAAAAAAAAAAAAATTCAGAAGTATTTCAATTAAAAAAAAAAAGTTAATTATATATAATGTTAACTGTAACATTTTTATTCATTGTTTAGAATTCTTAAAAACAAACATGGCAAAACTGTAATTTATTGTGAGATTATTAAATACATACTTTAACATTTTATTTTTCTAAAGAAAATTGTTTGAAAATTAATAAAACTAAAAAATAAAGCTACAGCCCCAATTCCAGAAAAGTTGGGACGTTTTGTGAAATGCCATAAAATCAAGAATATGTTATTTGTTCATTCTCTTTAACCTTTATTTAATTGACTGATGTACAAAGAAAAAATTTGCAATGTTTTCACTGGTCAACATAATTTTTTTTTTTTTTTCGGAAATATGAACAAATTTAGATTTTGTTGGGTGGAACACACTCCAAACAATTTGGAACAGAGGCATGTTTAACACTGTCACATCAACCTTTTAATTACAATGTTTAATTGTTTGGGAATTTTTGCAAGCAAAATTTTTGTCCAATTACGCTTGATACAAGATTTCAGATGCTCAGCAGTCCATGATCGTCGTTGTCTGATTCTCCTTTTCATGACTGTGACTTAAAATATGATGTCATATACTTATTTGACTTAAAATATGATGTATAACTATGGCAATAATCAATAGACTAATCAATAAGGTGATTGTTTCAATGATTGTTCCAATATTGGATGTCTCAATACAGACTGTGTGTCTCGGGTGCCCTCCAGTGAGCGGTACAGGTGTTTTCCACTGGACAGTACCAGTGAACTTAAGTGAGCAAGTGAACTTTGGGTGATTTCCACAGTATGACAGGTACAACACAAACAAGTTTGATGTATGTCACATGGGGACGATTCCAACCAATAGGAGACGGCGGAATAAAATTATTTTAAAAATGGCCGATCTGAGAAAATGTCAGGAAGAGCATTAATTAATTGTGGCAAACCAGACAAGCAAAACCAATAAAAAACCAGATTACCAATTTTTGGTTAAAAATGACTGATAAAGAACAGGGTATAAGTATGGGTGCACGGTCAGACAAAGACTCTGTGACTGTCATCTCTGCTTTGTTGCTCTGTTCAATAAAATCTTATTTTGACATCTGGAACTCTGCTTCTTGAACTTCATTTACTACATTGAGGAGACCTTTGCTTGCTCCATGACACTGGTTGTACATTTTCAATAGGAGACAGATCTGGAATGCTGGCAGGCCAGTCTAGCGCATTCAATCTGTGTCTACAAAACCACACTGTTGTAGCACATGCAGATTGAGACCTGGCATTGTCTTAATCTAATAACCCTGGACTTCTCATGAAAGACGTTATCTTGATGGCAGTATATGTCTCTGTACAATCCCAACATATGCCTCCATGTCAATGGTATCTTCACACATATGCCAGTCACCTATGCCGTTTGCTCTGCTGCACCCCCATACAATGACAGACGTTTGCTTTAGCATCTGTTGCTGGTAAAAGTCTGGATGGTCTCTTTAGTCTTTGGGACTGAGAACTCGACGTCCATTTTCCCCAGAAACAAGTTGAAATGTGGACTCATCTGACCGCAGCACACATTTTATCTGTCTTTTTATCTGAGATGAGCTCTGACCCAGAGAACCTCGCAGTATCACTGCATAGAATTGATGTATTGCTTTCTTCTAGAGTAACAGAAATTCAAGTTGCATTTATTGATGCAGCGGCAGACTGTGGTAAATGACAGCGGTTTCTGATGTACTCCTGAGCACATGTGGCTATATTTAACACCGCTCAAAGGTCATGCACATTCAACTGAGGCAGGGATACTAGAAACTTCCAGGCATGATGGTTTCTTATGCAATGCCATCTGAGGGCTCAAAGGTCATGCACATTCAACTGAGGCAGGGATACTAGAAACTTCCAGGCATGATGGTTTCTTATGCAATGCCATCTGAGGGCTCAAAGGTCATGCACATTCAACTGAGGCAGGGATACTAGAAACTTTCAGGCAGGTGTGTTGAGGCAAGTTGGAGCTAAACTCCAGGACTAAATTCGGACACCCCTGCCCTACACAGACTGAAATTTCTCTGGATTCCCTGAATCTTTTCACAATATTATGTATGGTAGTTGGTGAAAGACCTTAATTCGTTGCGATTTTGCATTGAGAAATGTAATTTTTGATTTGTTTGACACTTATATCATGAAATTTGGCAGAAAGCGATGAGCCATGATCCAGATATGATGCTGGTCACATGTTGTTGTGATAAGCCATTTTTTAGTAGCGGTGTTCATTTAGTAACATAGTTGACAGAATTTTTGACAACATAAGAAAAAGTAGTAATTTAAAGAAAATCTAATTTAAACTCAATCTAAAAAAAAAAAAAATTCAGAAGTATTTCAATTAAAAAAAAAAAGTTAATTATATATAATGTTAACTGTAACATTTTTATTCATTGTTTAGAATTCTTAAAAACAAACATGGCAAAACTGTAATTTATTGTGAGATTATTAAATACATACTTTAACATTTTATTTTTCTAAAGAAAATTGTTTGAAAATTAATAAAACTAAAAAATAAAGCTACAGCCCCAATTCCAGAAAAGTTGGGACGTTTTGTGAAATGCCATAAAATCAAGAATATGTTATTTGTTCATTCTCTTTAACCTTTATTTAATTGACTGATGTACAAAGAAAAAATTTGCAATGTTTTCACTGGTCAACATAATTTTTTTTTTTTTTTCGGAAATATGAACAAATTTAGATTTTGTTGGGTGGAACACACTCCAAACAATTTGGAACAGAGGCATGTTTAACACTGTCACATCAACCTTTTAATTACAATGTTTAATTGTTTGGGAATTTTTGCAAGCAAAATTTTTGTCCAATTACGCTTGATACAAGATTTCAGATGCTCAGCAGTCCATGATCGTCGTTGTCTGATTCTCCTTTTCATGACTGTGACTTAAAATATGATGTCATATACTTATTTGACTTAAAATATGATGTATAACTATGGCAATAATCAATAGACTAATCAATAAGGTGATTGTTTCAATGATTGTTCCAATATTGGATGTCTCAATACAGACTGTGTGTCTCGGGTGCCCTCCAGTGAGCGGTACAGGTGTTTTCCACTGGACAGTACCAGTGAACTTAAGTGAGCAAGTGAACTTTGGGTGATTTCCACAGTATGACAGGTACAACACAAACAAGTTTGATGTATGTCACATGGGGACGATTCCAACCAATAGGAGACGGCGGAATAAAATTATTTTAAAAATGGCCGATCTGAGAAAATGTCAGGAAGAGCATTAATTAATTGTGGCAAACCAGACAAGCAAAACCAATAAAAAACCAGATTACCAATTTTTGGTTAAAAATGACTGATAAAGAACAGGGTATAAGTATGGGTGCACGGTCAGACAAAGACTCTGTGACTGTCATCTCTGCTTTGTTGCTCTGTTCAATAAAATCTTATTTTGACATCTGGAACTCTGCTTCTTGAACTTCATTTACTACATTGAGGAGACCTTTGCTTGCTCCATGACACTGGTTGTACATTTTCAATAGGAGACAGATCTGGAATGCTGGCAGGCCAGTCTAGCGCATTCAATCTGTGTCTACAAAACCACACTGTTGTAGCACATGCAGATTGAGACCTGGCATTGTCTTAATCTAATAACCCTGGACTTCTCATGAAAGACGTTATCTTGATGGCAGTATATGTCTCTGTACAATCCCAACATATGCCTCCATGTCAATGGTATCTTCACACATATGCCAGTCACCTATGCCGTTTGCTCTGCTGCACCCCCATACAATGACAGACGTTTGCTTTAGCATCTGTTGCTGGTAAAAGTCTGGATGGTCTCTTTAGTCTTTGGGACTGAGAACTCGACGTCCATTTTCCCCAGAAACAAGTTGAAATGTGGACTCATCTGACCGCAGCACACATTTTATCTGTCTTTTTATCTGAGATGAGCTCTGACCCAGAGAACCTCGCAGTATCACTGCATAGAATTGATGTATTGCTTTCTTCTAGAGTAACAGAAATTCAAGTTGCATTTATTGATGCAGCGGCAGACTGTGGTAAATGACAGCGGTTTCTGATGTACTCCTGAGCACATGTGGCTATATTTAACACCGCTCAAAGGTCATGCACATTCAACTGAGGCAGGGATACTAGAAACTTCCAGGCATGATGGTTTCTTATGCAATGCCATCTGAGGGCTCAAAGGTCATGCACATTCAACTGAGGCAGGGATACTAGAAACTTCCAGGCATGATGGTTTCTTATGCAATGCCATCTGAGGGCTCAAAGGTCATGCACATTCAACTGAGGCAGGGATACTAGAAACTTCCAGGCATGATGGTTTCTTATGCAATGCCATCTGAGGGCTCAAAGGTCATGCACATTCAACTGAGGCAGGGATACTAGAAACTTTCAGGCAGGTGTGTTGAGGCAAGTTGGAGCTAAACTCCAGGACTAAATTCGGACACCCCTGCCCTACACAGACTGAAATTTCTCTGGATTCCCTGAATCTTTTCACAATATTATGTATGGTAGTTGGTGAAAGACCTTAATTCGTTGCGATTTTGCATTGAGAAATGTAATTTTTGATTTGTTTGACACTTATATCATGAAATTTGGCAGAAAGCGATGAGCCATGATCCAGCTTTGCTTGCAAAGACTGAGATGCTCCTTTTATACCCAAACATGATCCCCTCACATATTACCAGTTCACCTGCTTACTGTAAACCATTTCAAAACGGTTCAATTTGGATATTCTATAACCTTTTCACTTTCATATTGCCTCTGTCCCAACTTTTTTGGAGTTAGCTGCAGCCATTCATATCAAAATGTGTTTATATTTACAAAATACATTTAAGTTGGTCAGTGAAAACTTTGGAAATCTTTTCTTTGTACTTTTGTCAATTAAGTAAATGTTAAAGAGAATTAACAAATCACAGATTCTTGATTTTATTGCATTTTACAAGACATCCCAGCTTTTGGAGTTGTATCATCAATGGACATGAAATGTATTCTAAGTAATAGAATGTCTCCTATGCTATACTAGGTAGCAATAAAATATTTTTTGGAAAATCTAAATGCCATACTGACTAGATTGGAATGTAATGATGGCTGTAGTCAGAATCCGAGTGCCATTTCATACCATCGTGAATGTCATTTGAGGAAAGTTGTAATGAAATTATGGCCCAGTTTCACAAATGGGGCTTAGCTTAAGCCAGGACTAGGCCTCAGTTAAATTAAGATATTTAAGCAACTTTTACAAAAATGCCTTAGAAGAAAACATTACAGGTGTACATCTTGACACAGAACAATGACACTGACATATTTTAAGATATGTCAGAGCAAGATATTTTCAGTTGAGACAGCTCAAACATGCATTTTAGTCTGGGACTAGCTTAAGCCTTGTCTGTGAACCCGGGGGTATAAGTGTTAAATTATGTTTTCATGTTTATTTGAGGTAATTGTGAATCTGTGATGGCATAAACATTTGATTCATATGCAGTTAACAAATAAAATGTCTTTCAGGGTGGTAAGACATGAGGTGACGAGCGTAGCAGCCGAAGTGCATGCAGCCCCACCAGCCCTTCCTGAAGCTCGACCAATAAGCAACTGCCAGGACCAAAAGCTTGTTGAACAGTTGGCGGAGACCATCAAAGTGATCGGTGATAGGCTCGATCAGGATAAATCATTCAATGAGTCAGTCTGAGATCTGAATCTTTGTCTGTCTTTACTGAACATCAGTGCTGCTGTCTGTACTGCTTTTAAAACACCAGGTTTCACTTTCTGTTTTTCTGACCTCACAGCATGATTGATGGCTTAGTAAAAGTGGCTGATAAAAGAAGTTTCTGGGAACTTGTGGAAAAGGTTTTCACAGATGGCCAGATCAACTGGGGGAGAATTATAGTGCTGTTCTATTCAGTTGGAAAACTGTCTGCAAAGGTATTGGATTAGTTAGATCCTACATGTCTCTGTTGTCTTTTTAAATTTTATGTTAATATATCTGTTGTTTGTAGACATGCAAGTTTATGTTTATATCTGCACATATATATCTCTTTCCTCTCAATAGATGGTCCTTGCACACTTACCCACAATTGTTTCAGATATTTTGATCTTAAGTCTGGATTACTTCAGGAGGAATCTGTTGGAATGGATTCGCAAAATGGGAGGATGGGTAAGAAACAACGAAGACACATTTTTACATGAAAAAAGACTTTTGTTTTAATCTTGTTCTAATCTTGTTAGAAGATGTGTTGAGCAGTATTGATCACAATGTCATATCTATAATATCTGCTTTGTTTGTACCCCTTAATACAGATGCACAGTATCCCTGCGCTGGCCTGTTTCTCCTTTGAGCAATTTTCTGGTTCTTCACTTAGTAAATATTCTTCCTATTTCGGAGCCGCATTGACCTTCACTGGTGGCCTACTGCTAGGTGGCTTCATCGTCTTGAAATTTCCAAGAAATAGCTAAGAGAAAGAAAATGAAGATGCTGCAACAGAAGTGTCCATAACACTGACCTTGAGAGAAACCATGTAGCTTATATCTGTATTTTGTCATTTGCCCCTTTTTTATTGTAATATGCCTTATATATATATATATATATATAGAATGTATTTATACTGTTTTGTAAGAAAACATTTAATATGGTAATGCTAATTGATTTAAAGAAAGGTACATGTTTATTCAGGATCAGGACAGATTGTAGGGATAAAACTGAGCCTAAGCTTTTTATTGATAATTATCATATGACACACATTAGTAGTTTTGTATAGTCTGGCTTGTCCTCTTCCTTGTACATTTAAGTATTGTGCACTGAATGTGATTAAAGTCCCCATAATTTCTGAAAATGTATGTTTTTGTTTTTATATATATATAAAATAGTAATATATAGGCCTATGTACAGAGAGACATTTTCTTCTGAGCTACATTATAGTTTGAGGATGGCTGCTAAATATCGATTTGTTTTGGATTGAGACATGAAAGGAAATTATGCAGTCACGTAAAACCGCTTTTTTGTTTGTTTCGCTTTTATTTTCATTTAGCCTAGTGCAACGTTAGCAGTGAAGATGCGGAACTGACAATTGTTTAACAATATATCTGATTTAGACACCAAGACTACTAAACCAGTTAGAGGTTTGCGAAATGTTTATACATTAACGTGAATGTATAGGTCACACGTAAAGACAGTTTCACTGCGGTTTGTTAAGTGGCCATCAAATCCTATCGTAGGACCAAAGAGGAAGATCATGCCTGCCATGTCAGGTATTCAGACTTTACGAAACAGGCTTTTTTATTCATATTTCTTAACTTGAGCTCAGTAGCCTATAGTAACTAACATTTTACTTTTGTATGCAACTTTTAGATTACAGTTTTCAACGAATCGTGTACTTCGGCAAGTTTCACACACTACATATTTAACCCATGCTTATAACTTAATAAATACTAATACATATTTTTTTATAATATTAAAAAAAAATAATACCCAAATAACCAAACATAAAATCCAACAGAGACTATTTACTTGGATGTCATATTTTCCAGGTTACTCGTTGTGGCATTTTATTTGGCATTCATTTTGGGTAGCACTAAAGTGTCAGTACATTATTACCAATAGTTTCTTTTTTTCATAATTCAAATGATGTTCTCAGATTAGTGACGGAACAGGTAGAGAGGGTGGGAACATGCGCACCGTCTCTTCCTGAGCCGCAGCCAATGAGTGATGAGCGGGAGCAGCTCCTGGAACAGATGGCTAGCCTCATCAGAGACTTCGGCGACAGTCTCGATCGAGAGCCAAAATTCAACGAGTTAGTATTGAAATGTCTTTTTTGGTATGCGAGAATATTACTGTGTAATAATTATGGAAGTCCGTTTCTGCCTCTGAGTAAAAACATTACTGTATGTTAATGTTAAAGTTAATGTTTGATAGTTTAAAGGGATAGTTCACCCAAAAATGAAAATTAGTCCATTAAAACGAAAATTCCTTCATCATTTACTCACCCTCCACTAGATCGTTTTTCCCCTCCATACTATGGAAGTCTAGAATCGCTAACGTCAATTTTTGTTTAGTTACCACCATTCTTCAAAATATCATATTTTGTGCTCAACAGAAGAAAAAAAACAACAACATAGCCTACAATTTTGGAACAAGTGGAGTAAGTAAATGATTAATTTTTAGATGAACTATCTGTTTAATTTGCAATTATGAGAAAGGTTGGCAATTTTGAGATAAAAAGTCACAACTAAATGTTGATCATGAGAAATGAAATAAAATTGAAAACAAAGTTGCAACACAAGCTTCCAGTATAATGAAAGAGCAAATCTGTTTTATTAAAAGATGTGTTTGATTTCAGCATGGTTGATGGGTTTGCACGTGTGGCGGATAGACAGTTTCCAGAAGCTTGTAGACAAAGTTTTTGTTGATGACATCACCTGGGGGAAAATTGTTACTCTGATCTGTGTTGTTGGGAAATCCATTGCAAAGGTATGCAGTGCTCTCTTTATTTGACCTACTCTCATTTGTTTGTGTGTGTTTCTATATAGGAGTCATAAATACAGTACAAATTTAAATGATGAAGGATACATTCAATCCAGCTCACTTCCTATAAATTTCACAATTAATTTGTAATGCCAACATACATTTGTAGAGTTTCAGTGCCCAAACCAAAGTGTTAATGCTCTGAGGTTGGACTTTAATGCATATGTGCTTGTTTTTTGTTTTGCATTGATAGATTCTTGCTGATTTAGTCTCAGGCGTTGTGTCTTGGACACTGGATTACTTCAGGGATAACCTTCTGAACTGGATCTGCAATAGAGGAGGATGGGTATGATTTGATAAACATGAGAATATTTGTACTAGCACAGCATAGCATTGAAAAGACATCAGTAATAGTCACTCTTTTAAATACCTGCAGATCAACAGTATCTCTTCCTTGGCTCATTACTCCTTTGAGCGAGATTTTGGTTCCTCATCCAGCCTGATCTCCCTCTCCTCTGGAGTCCTCTTCATCAGTGGAGTACTGCTGGGTGGCCTCATTGTCTGGAGACTGAACAGATGTGCCTGAGGAGGGTCAGTGAAGGACTGATGAAGTGAGAAAAGGGGGAATGCTGGGATTTACATATGCAACGGACCAAAAATAATGATGATCTGACCAAGTAAGAGAAGGCTGCTTGGCAATATCATGCACAGTAATAAAGTGTAATATATTATAATGTATAGTGTAGATCCGATAGGAATTACAGACTGTGATTTTTTTTTTTTTTAGTTTGCCTGTCTCAGTCCACGTGAGTGAGGAGGGATAAAATTAATCCAAAATGGGAAGTATAGCAATAACTAGCAAGACTTGAAATGTTATAGGTGCTGTGCCAAGACTTTGTCTATGCCCACTGTTATTGTAATCTCTACCTCGTCTATCAAATTTATATTAGAAATGTATAAATAACCCTGTAACTACAGACTAAATAACTATGTACTATAAATGTGTTAAAAAATTATATTGTTACATTTGAAATGTAATTATTACAACTTTTCCAATAATGTAGATTATGAAAGACCAATGCAAAAAGTCTGCATTAAATAAAGTCCTTCCCACAAACCCATGAAGGTACATGTAAAGGAAAATCATTATTAACAATTATTTTGATGTTTAATTAGCATGTAACGGAATTACATTTATCATGAAATGCTAACTTAAAAAAAATGAGCAAAAACAGAAAAGTAATTGGATCCCAGAGTAACATGAAAAAATCACAACAAACATTTGAAGAATCACACAGGACACGTGTTGAAAATTTTGGCATGAGCTTTTAACATTTTTATTGACTTTTTGATAACTTTGTTTTTAAATTGGATTTCATTTTTCTAATTGTTATTATTATTTTTTCCTATCTGTAATGGAGAAGATTTGATCAGGTAGGTTAGCATTCACGTTCAAACTTCCATACTTTTAATAATATAATGATTTTTAAGCCTCAGTTTTCACAAACTGTTAAATTATTACAGTTTATTATTTTTTTTCTTTATACATTTCAAAAATATAAAAGGTAAATAATAAACATTCCATTGAAATATATTTTATACAGTTCTTGATATTTTTTTTCCATTTTTTGTATGACAATAAAATTGTATCCAGCATCAGTCTTAGTAGCATAGAACTCATCCATTTCGTTTAGGAACCTTCTCTTTCTCACTGGCCTCTCTTTCTCTGTCCCTGTTTCTTAACTGGGGGGGGGTTAGGCTTGCGCTCAGCAGTAGACACAGCCGCTCCATTAGCTGTGATAGTGCAATGAATTCCCCCTTCAAACAAGCTACATAAAGTAACTAAAGTAGAAAAGTACAGGTAGTGCATATTGGGTCAAACTATACTATAATAAATGCACAGACACATGTGGTGATAACTGAGTTCCTGTAGGCTGTTTTGTCGACATCTGCCTTCACAACTGCTGCATCTGTTCAGCTCTGAGTCTGTGGAAGCTCTAATGAATATTTACTACAGATATATACAGATAAATAACAATATATAAATATGTAAATTAAACAGAGTCTTTCAGAATGGCTAGCGTATAGCCACAACTTATATTTGGCATGGCTACATTTTGAAGAGAAAGGGATGTGAGAGAAACCAGAAACAATATATGCTCTTTCTTCCTCTCTAATTGTCTCAGAAAGAGAAGTCGCAGAGTAGAGAGCCCAGGTGAAAGAGATGGTCACCTCATTCTGGCCATTCACAAATTATTCACAAGTTACGTCCTCATTGTATTCCATGCATGCATTATAATTCAACTTCAAACAATATGATAGAAAAACACAAGAACAAGGGATGCAAAAAAGCTTCTTCCTCAAAAATATAGAAGGAGAGGGAACAGACGAGAGGGGGGAGGGGATGCAAACAGGAAGTTGAGAAAGCGTGAAGACTGATTCTGGCTTTGTTCTGCTCCTCTCTGATATGTTTTGTATTTGGGTTTCAAGTAAAGGTATGTTGAGCTGTCAGCCATCTGGAGGGGTTGCGGTCTCATTCACGCTAAGACAAGCATTCGCAGAGAGAGCATCTTCAATTGATGTGGCCGGTTTGTGTACACATCCAGGGAACAGTTTCAGGCACACTGGATTTCTAATTAGGGATGAGATGAACATGTCCCCCAATTCCTAATGACGACAATGAGAAAAAGGTGGCCCTACGTCATTATTGCTCCAAAACACCATCCAATCGGACTTTATGAACGACCAGAGAGGTACACGTCATCTTAACCAATCAGCAAATGCATTGCAATTTGGAAGTGAGTACCACGTATAAAACAAGTTCTTGTAACATAGATGTCCTACAGACCCTCTGAGTTGAGTATATGCTTACATATAAATGTATATGTTAACTCTGAAAGTGCATGAGTGTCTTCGTGCACCAGGAAGCACGCAGAAAAGACGTTGCAAAAAAACATAAAACAGGCCTGACGTATTAATTGAAGGGAGAGGAAATTCAGTGCACCACTAAGGAAAGTGACATGGCTACTACAGCTGCACACATCTGTCGCACCTTCAAGCTACTCGGACCAGCTGCTAACATTTGAATTAAAACTACACGGTCAGCAGATAATGCTGGCTCTTGTGGTGATGGAGCTGCATCTGTGTCGTTTTCCTCCCTGGACACACAGCACCGGTAAACAGACACCAGCCTGCTGGCCTGAGCACATGGTGTGTGTGTGTGTGTGTGTGAGCTGCTAAGGTCTTGATTAGGTGTTGCATAGGTAGTTACTAAACTAAGCTTACATCTGATTCTTAACGATGAGTGCTGACAGAATACAGTCATGGTGTTTTTAAGACTTTAAATACCTTAA